CTAGATACTAGGATGATGACCTGTGACTCTGAAATTATAGTGTTAACTAAAACTGTTACAGTAGTAGAGTGTTTCAGTAGTTTACAAACCATCAAATGAGTGCTTAGTCTATTAAAAAAAGTTATAATTACATTTTAATGGTTACTAAGCAAAAAGTTAACTTTACCCATTAAATTTGACTAGTTGACACCTGTTACAGCCCGTAGCCAGCTTTATATTGGGGGGGGGCTTCGTTTTTCAATGTGGCAATTTGCTCGGCAGGGCGTGTACAGGATTTGTAACCAGGTGGGGGGGGCGTCGAACCGTACGCCAAAGTTGCGAGCACGCGCGAAGGGGGTGTGGGGGCCCTCCCCCAGAATTTTTAAAATTAGACCCCTCAGATCGTTTTCTGCGCCGAAGCAAGGGGGGGTCCGGACTCCTGGACCCCGCCCACCCTGTACACGCCCCTGCTCGGGCGCGTAAGTCGACCAGGCGAGGGAGCGCAGCGACGAGCGGGGAGGGGTAATGGGAGGGGGTGCACATGTTTCACCCTCCCGCACGAGTGGAGATTTTGCAATTATTAACAGCCTAAAATGAGCGACCCGAAGTGAAATTCTTTGCCAAATTTTTCAAAAAAGAAAGTTTTTTGCTTGGGGGGATCGAGTGGGGGGGGGGTTCGTTGCGAACCCCCCGAACCCCCCCTGACTACGGGCCTGTGTTAATGTATACCCACTTAGTATCACAATACATTGTATCGAACCCAATGTAACCGAGTAAGACCCGAGTAAAAACTGTAGGTCCAAACATGTTACTAGGTTTAAACTAGTACTTTGTTTTTTAATCAACCAAGGGGGTTACAGAAACCAAATAACCCCCCCCCCCCGCGGGTACGGCCCCTGCTAACTAGTAGGCAGGAGCGCAAATTCAGGGGGACAGGGGGACATGTCCCCGTCCACGAATTTTGGATCACCATGATTTTGTGTGTAAGTGTAAGTTGTGTGTGTGTGTGTGTGTGTGTGTGTGTGTGTGGTGTGTGTGTGTGTGTGTTGTGCGTTGTGTGTGTGTGTTTGTGAAGTGAGAACCTTTTTATTGTGTTGATAGTGCGTCAACGATTGCTTCTTTCCCTTTTTTTGCCAGCTTTCATTTCATTCAAGTGCATTTGAGAGCATAACTAGAGCACTCGGAGAGCACAGACCTCCGCCAGCAGCTGAATCTCTCAATGCTAAATTTTTTTATTTAATTAATTAATTAAGTGGAAAATTAATTAATTAATTAATTAAATAATTAATTGAGATCCGGATAGTGCGAGCGTGCAGGTGGGGGAGGACTGTGGTTGCGTGTTTGTAAGTCTACAGCCAGCGGCACCTAAGCGGAAGGTGAACTGAAACGTGCAATGGTACACACACACACACACACACAACACACACTCAATATGGCACGACGGTGAAAACATAACCTCCGCCACGCCCCTGGCGGAGGTAATGATGATCATGCACAACTTAAGAAAAATGTGTCTTGATAAATTGAGTACCGTTTCTTTTTAACACGTTTTTTTTTACTTATATTAAATAATTCTTATGCAGGGAAATTCATAAGAGAAAAGTATGTTTATGAAGTTTAGGAGATATCACTCACATTAGACACTGATTCAAGGATTATAAGCTGGGAACACGAGCTATATTCACGCAAAAAGGACACTGAGTAACTGAGCATCGGTTTTAATAACGTAATTTTCATTGCAAGTTGATGATATATATACACGCATATATGATATGACTGGACCAACAATAATAACGAACCAATATATTTGGTGATCAGCATCAACACCAAATGATTGGTTTTCCTGCTTTTTGTTTTCTTGATTTTATGAGTGCATGTGGACACCCTTTTCGTAATCTTATCACAAACCAAATGCATGCATGTGTGTGTGTGTGTGTGTGTGTGTGTGTGTGTGTGGTGTGTGGTGTGGTGGTTGGCTGTGTGTGTGTGTTGCAGGGCGTGTACAGGGGGGGGGGGGGGGGTCCAGGAGATCCGGACCCCCCCCTGCTAGCGCAGAAAACGAGGGGGTCTAATTTCAAAATTTTTCTGGGGGAGGTCCCCCCAGACCCTCCCTTCGCGTGCTCGCTACTGGTGTCCCCCCCCCACCTTTCAAAATGGATTTGCGCGCCTGCTAGTAGGCCCCCCTATATTGTTTCTATGGCTTACACGGTACCTATATTTGGGAACAGAGGGAGAAATACCAAGGATAATAATAACCGTAGGACGCATATGATACGGAACGAGGGCGGTAAAAAATCACCTCATTAATTGTCTCGTTTTGGTTTACGGCAGACTATACTATAAACTTAGTGTGATTATGCATGCAAAATTTATGCTAATCTAATAACTGTTTAGCCATTAATCGCCTTTAACATTATTTTCTCATGATCTGTCCCTTCATAATCTGCCAATTCTGCTCCAGCGAAACCACAGCAGCTGCTGCCAAACCGTGCATGATATAGGTACACCATATAGCTTTCAGCCATATTTTCCACACATTTCCTGCATTTTCCGCACCGTGTACTAATCTTCGCAGTACAATTACAAAGCGTTGATTGCATGCTAACGGTTTTTTTCGGTCGGGTCATTTATGGTGCACGAACGTGGCCAAATTACAAATATATGCGATCAAACCTAATGTAATCACAGCATAATGAAAGGAAAACGTGCACGCACGCGAGCACCCCTCCCTCCCCCCACACTCTTACACAGTTGCATCGCCCGATAGCAAAACCTGCCCACTATTGTGTTGAATGGTTTTTGGTCGTGGGAAATCGCCTGACGTTGGTTATTTCACAAATGTTCACACAGGAATGGCACGTCTAGTCTTAGATCCCACCTGCCAAAAATGCTTTACTAGGACCAACTATGGTATCCGCAGAAAACAAGGATTCATATAAAGGTTAAAATACTTAGTATGGGGTAACTTAGAATTGATTACATTTTGGTGGTGATCCGGATCCAATTAATTATTTAATTAATTAATTAATTTTTCCACTTCATTAATTAATTAATTAATAAAAAATTTCATTGAGAGAATTCAGCTGCCTTGGCGGAGGTCTGTGCTCTCCGAGTGCTTTAGTTTCTAGATGCAATAGGCCTTGCCAGTTAGTCATTGACTAGAATAATCCTGCCTATAGCTTGTTGGTAATTTGATTATGCATCCGTACGTGTATTTACTCAGCATACAATAATTCGGTATACATCTGTTAGTGATTGCTAGTGATGGGAATCGGCTGGAATTTCATAATCGATTATCGGTTTCCCTTAACCGATCGATAATCGATTATAATCAGATAATCGGTTAATAATAGCATAGATTTAATTTAATCTTACTTTGTATATATACAATTATACATAGCATTCAATATTATCATGCTTTATGATCATGTATCAACTCTGTGACGGTTGCTGTATGTATATCAATGTCTGTTCCTATACAGTATTTAATCAATTTAAAAAGAAATGGTTTAAATGCCGTTATTAAAACATTAAAAGTTTTAAACAAACATGATCAAGCAGTCCTTGTGTTTTAGAAAAGGCAGGCGAGTGAAAAATCACACACCTTGGGTTGCCAAATTAGGGGGGTTCGGGGGCAATATGGTGTGATGCGATGTATGCGTGCTATACGGTAGTTTGGGTCTCGTATGCAAGAGAACTTTGCGCATAAAAATATAATTCGAGTCTTCTGCATATAAAGTGAATGCATGTCGTTTCTGTTCTAGTTTCTGTTTGTGGAACGGTTAGCATTCGTCATTGGTCCAGTGCATTGTAGCGCGCGCAGTGGAATAAATCGATATCACAACACACGCAGCTCTGCATCACTGGCAGCAAGATCAAGCCCGCACGTACAGCACACACGCGGCGCCATTGACTATATATATATACAACATGGTGTCGAACTCGCCGGCAGTCGCCGCCGCAGTTTCCACAACTCACCGTTTTAAATCAGTTACAACTACAAGGTGTTCCTGCAGGTGATGCCACTTTCCAACTATAGTTGGAATCGCGGAACATTGCTTAACAATATACACCCGCCAATTTTGACAATCGGCTCGCCAGAATGCGCTTAAATCACAGAAATTCCTCAAATATACATGCTAAATGATCCTTTAATAGCCTGCTACGCGTGAAGAAGGCGGCTGGCTGAACCGTTGGCGGCTGCGCATACCATGACTCACCCGCGATGTCAACAAGCGTAGTTTCGCAGCCTGTCTGCGCATTAAACTTGCTGCAGCCAATCAGCGCAGCCGCCAACGGTTCAGCCAGCCGCCTTCTTCACGCGTAGCAGGCTAAGGATCATTTAGCATGTATATTTGAGGAATTTCTGTGATTTAAGCGCATTCTGGCGGGCCGATTGTCTGAGTTGTAACTGATTTAAAACGGTGAGTTGTGGAAACTGCGGCGGCGACTGCCGGCGAGTTCGACACCATGTTGTATATATAGTCAATGGCGCCGCGTGTGTGCTGTACGTGCGGGCTTGATCTTGCTGCCAGTGCTCTGCATACGTACGTATCAGTGTTCGAAATATAGTTAATGACCCTGCGACCTTGACCTTGGATGGAAATGGCTCAGAATCAATAGGGTTCTCTCGCCCCATAAGATGCAGCTGTGGACCAAGTTTGAAGTTTCTACCTCTTACGGTTGCAAAGATATCGAAAGGACAGACACACAGACATACACACCGGCACATACACGAAACCGAAACGGCCACGAAAACAATTTCCTCCGCGGCACTGCGTGCGAAGGATAACTACTTGTAGTTGTACTTCGTCGAGTAGACATGTTCGTCTGGTTAGCCTGTATTGTGTTATCTTAAAACACAAGGACTGACAAGACTTGTGCTCTACTTGTCATATCAATTCACACATCGTGAGTACAGTTCCTTGTTTGTTTGTTTTGGTATTTTCGATAATCGATTATTTGTTTTCATAATCGATTATCGAATTTGAGACTATAATCGATGATCGGGACATCACTAGTGATTGCACAGGTATATATTGTAGGTTTCTACATTTCACAAAAATGTAAAAATTGTTGATAATAAACAAGATTGCACGGCTTAACATTATCTATTAGAAATGTACAATATGCATTCATGCAGGACATTTTACAACAAAGCAGCCATATTCACTTTCTACTAAATCAATTATATTTACAATGGTAATTATATAAGAAATAACTGCTTTTGTGTCACAACAATCTTAACAACATCAGCTTGTGCAAGTATCGCCACAAAAACCTTCGTACAAAGGGAACTGCGTCGGCCAAACCACTTATCGAATCAAATCATTTACTTGGCGCCTAAATCGAAATTCGGAGCAAACCCAAATCAACTAAACACGCAAATCTAGCGTACAGATATCGCAGGCAGCTTCACGGCGAAGGATTCGTCGGCTGATCGGGGGTCGACATCTCTGCTTCCGCGAGCTTGCCATACGCGCCCTTGTCGTCCGGCGCAGCCCGATTCACGTTGCCGCTAGCGTAGAGGAACATGTGACACGGCACGGTCACCTCGTCCGTCCGATTCACCTGCGTAGAGATATTCCACGGATGATCGCAAGCTAGAGACGCGCGCGACAATATTCTGTCGGAGCAAGAGCCATCAGGTGTAGTGCTTATATATACGCACAAGCATGGTGGTAGTCAAGGTACGTGACATGCGAGTGACAGGCAAAACTATTAGGATAGCCATAGGCATAAGTCGCTGAACGTTCTCCATAAAGTTTGCAATGCTGCAAGTTGTTAATATGCTACGATATTCTCTAGCCTATCAGTAAAAAAGCGATGAAATTCGACTGTGACTGAGACACGATTCCCAAATCTTGCCAGTATTGTATTATGCTCTAGTTATTTCGTTGGCTCAAGATATAACACTTGCCACGGTGTGCGATCGTTACCTGTGGCCAAGGCACAGAAGAGACTCACCATGAGCTGAATTTCAAAATCGCGAGGGTTGTCGCTGGTTATTGGGTCATTCGGCATGGTTATCGCATACTCTGGCACGACAACACCCTGCCAATTTAAAATTATTGTGCTTTTAGGTGTACTTGCGTCAAGAACACATAATTAACATGCTTTTAGCTTTTTGTATGACTCAAGTTCTACATGTTCAGAATTTAAATTAGCAATAAATCGGTACCCTGATGTAGAGAGATCCTATATGGCAAATATAGCAAAACGATATATTCACCAATTCATGTAAAGACTCGCTATCATGTCAAATTCATAATGACCATAACCATGTACATCCTAGTAAGCACAACAAAAAAGTACTTTTGTTTGAAATTATTAATTCACAGAGTTCCTCCTGAGTCCGCTATGTGTGGTGAAACACACTGAAGACGAGAAGCGGGGAGGCAGGTGGATGCATATATTGAAGACAAGGTGTTGGGAGACTCGTGGAGAAATATGGCATCTCCATTATGTAATAAGTATATGTGTTGACTTACTGCTTTCCTAAATGAAACTGCGATGTGATTCTTTGTGATTGTCCATGGATTATTCCGGTTCATCGTTATATTTAGTCTCATTTGCTGAAGATATTTTAATGTCTGTAAAGCAAAAAAATAACCTGCAATGCTGATCAAAATCTCAAACATATCAATGTAGCAAAGATATCGCAACAAGTGTACTTGACTAACATTTTCACATTAACAAATAATGCGGGTAGGTCTCTATCTCTCTATCCCATAGTCTCTTAAGATACATAACTAGGATCTAATATTCACATGCAGTTGATACGCCATAAGTAAACCACCAAGGAAAGTTTCACTGCTATTTTGTCTCAAGGAGATGAATAACAACAATGTTACCATATGCACTTCTGAGTTTCAGAATGCATCAAACACAAATCAGCAAATCATGTCATGAGTAACCTGCTTATGACGTGACGTCGGTACAAATGTACATCCCTGTCTGATGCAATACTTACAATAAATGTTCACTGGTCAACAATCAAAGACAATTGGTTGGCGAATTCTTGTATAAAAATATACTAACCGTCTCTACAAAAGCGCTTCTCGTGGGACCTTCTGCATCTTCAATCTCCTTTTTCCGCTTCTGAACGAAAGAGAGAGTTTGATTGATAACTCAATATTACTGTATATAATTGTATCCCCTGAACGAAGTACGTGGGGATACTATGGGTTTGGCATCGTCGCGCCGCCGCCGCCGCAGAGATTTCCTTGTGAACGCTCTACCGGCTGCAGTTCTTCTCGAATCATCTTCCAATTTCGCATGAAGGTGCGTTATCGTAAAGCGAAGACGCCAATCGTTTTTGGTGTGGGCGGAGTCATCGTTGCCATGGTAACAACATTTTTTGTCGAAATATTCTGAACTTGTTAGCTTCTGCACTTTTTTACCGATTGTCATGAAATTATATATTTTATTTAAAATTTATGATTAAAATTTATATTTTAAATTTTAATTTAAAGCATTTAAAATAAAAATAAAAATTTAATTTTGTATTTAACATTTATATTTAAATTATGATGATTTAGTCGATCAAATTATATTATATACAGTATATCCTATATATATATAGCACATGTTATATCAGCCCTGTGTGCCAAATTTCCATGACAACTCATGCCGGGTAAAAACAGCACAAGTTACAGGTTCTACCAATATTTCCACAACAAGTGCGCGGAGCGGACACGCTCATCTAACGTCTACTTGCGGTACTTCTGCTGATGGATGGTGGGATTTAGCTAAACCGCTGTGGTAGTCCAAAGGGTTCAATACTATGCGCCAAGCCATTAACCCTCGGAAAATACTCATTTCTAAAGAATTTTAAACTAGAATCTCAAATCAATTTACAATGCATTAAATCATCAATTTACAAAGTTTAAAAATTAAGTTGACATAAAGTAAGCAATTATTTATAGAAACATAAGTTATATAGTTACAATTATTAACATGTTTAGGAATCAATTTACTAAGATTTTAAATTAATTTATAACATTCAAATCAATGTTACCGAACAATACAAATCAAGTTAGTATTGTCTACAATATTACAAATTACAAAGTCACAATTAATCATGTATCTACAAACAGTCTACTGCTTTTGTAAATCAATTCATACAAAGCTACATTTATTAACATGTTTACGATCAATTATACAAGATTTTAAATTAATTTTATAACATTACAAATAATTTACGAAATTACAAATCAAGTCAATAGTAATCATGTATCATACCAACATCAATTCATAAAAAGCCACAATTTATTTTACATGTTTTACGAATAATTACTAAGATTCTCAAAATTATTTATAGCATTTAGACAAGAATCATTTTACGAAAAATACACAATCCAAGCTCACATAGTAGTCAGGTATCTACAAATCAATTCATAACAGCTACGAATTCATTTACACTGTTTGTACGAATCAATTACAAGATTCTAAATTAATTCGTATAACAGTTACAAATCGATCTTTACGCGAACAAGTACGAATCAAGTCACATAAGTAATCAGTGTATTCTACAAATCGAATTCATAAAAGCTACATTATTACATAACAAAAGAATCAGCTTATTTACTTCAAATCAACTTTACCAGCTTTGCCAATGAATTTACGTGCGCGCCGATAAATCCGCCTATCAGGAGAAATTCGAAAGTCAATTTACCAACTTCCAAATATAATACCCAAAGCATGAACTTCGAATGAAACGAGGCGCAATCCCGCACCGACGCGCCATCTAACCGTGTGTTGCCTATGGGAAGCGTGATTGGAACTGACTATGGTTGCCTATGGGATAGGGATTCACGCAAGGCGGCGGCCGTGTGGGCCAGATTCACATATGGCCTATACGCACGGCGGCCGTGTGGACTGACTCAATATGGCTTAGGAATGCAGGAAGGGAGAAGGAGAGAAGGTGGAGGAGAAGGAGGAAGGGGGAAGGGAGAAGGTAGTGGAGAAGGAGGAAGGGGAAGTGGTGGAGAAGAGGAGGGGAGAAGAGAAGGTGGTGGCAGGGAGGAGGGCGAGAAGGAGAAGGTGTTGGAGAAGAGAGAGGGCGGGGAGCAGGAGATCAGCAGGGGTGGAGGACGGGGCAGAAGCTGGTGCGAGAAGGAGGAGGGGGAGAGTGGGAGAAGGTGTGAGGAGGGGAGAAGCTTGGAGAAGGACTGGTGGAGAAGGAGGAAAGGGAAGGAGTGGGGCAGAAGAGGAAGCTGGTGGAGAGAGGAGGGCGGTAGAAGGGAGAGCTGGTGGAGGAGGAGGCGGGGGGAGAAGGCTGGTGGAGACAGATGAGAAGTGGTGGCAGAAGCAGGCAAGGTGGCGGAGAGAGCAAGCGTGGTGGAGAAGGAGCGAGATGCGTGGAGAAGGTAGAGGGGCCAGAAGTGGGAGAGGGGAAAGGGAAGAGAAGGTGGTGGAGGGGGCAGAAGCGCAGAGGGTGAAAAAAAAGTGGTGGAACGAGGGGAGAAGGAGAGGTGGTTGGAGGGGGAAAAGTGGTGAGTAAGAGGAAAGGAGAGGAGCAGAAGGAGGAGAGAAGCGGATGATGGTGGAGAGGAGGAGGGGGAGAAGGAGAACGGGGATAAGGGGGGGAGGAAGGAAGCTGCGTGGAAGAGGGACGGCGAGAGAAAGGCAGAAGTGGTCGAGGAGCGGAGATGAAGGCTGGTGGAGACGGACGGAAGGGCGAGAAGGGAGAAGGTGGTGGAGAAGGCAGGAAGGGAGAAGCTGGTGGAGAAGCGAGGAGGGGAGACAGCTGAGTGGTCAGAAGCGGAAAGGTGTTGGAAGAGGAGGGGGAGAAGAAGTGCGTGGCAGAAGGAGGGGGGAGAAGAGACGGTGGTGGAGGAGGGGAGAAGCTGGGTAGAGGCAGGAGGAGGGGAGAAGAGAGAAAGGGTGGAGAATGGAGCGATTGGATGAAAGCTGGTGGAGAATGAGGAAGGGGGAGAACGGGAGAAGCTGGCGGAGGAGAAGGAGGAAAGGGAGAAGGTGCGAGAGAGAGGGGCTGGAAGGGATTGTGGAGGGGGAGCAAGGGGGAGAAGGTGGTGGAGAAGGAGGGCGCGGGAGAAGCTGGTGGAGAAGGAGGAGGGGGACGAAGGGAGAAGGCTAGTGGAGGAGGAGGGAGAGCTGAAGGGGAGAGGACGAAGTGGTGGAGGAGGGGAGAAGGAGAAGGTGGATGGGGCAGGGGGAGAAGGGAAAGTGGTGGAGCCGGAGAGGGAAGGTGGAGCAGGCGAGATGGTGGAGGAGGAGGGGAAGAGAGGCGGATAAGGAGGGGAGAAGGAAGCTGGTGCGAGAAGGAAGGGAGAAGGGAGAGATCTGCCAACCGCGCTCCCCTGATAATCAATGAAATGACCGCCCGCAGCACGCTTCTCATCTTCTTCCACTCTCCTCTCCACCAGGCTTCTTCTTTCTCCGCTCCTCCATTCTCTGCCAGCTCTCCCCCTCCTCCTTCTCCACCACCTTCTCCTTCTCCCTTCCTCCTTCATCACACCAGCTGCTCCTTCTCCCCTTCCTCATTTCCACCAAGCTCCCCCCTCCTCTTTCTCACCACCATTCTCCTTCTCCCTTTCCTCCTTCTCCACCAGCTTCTCCCTTTTCCCCTTCCTCTTTCTCCACAGCTTCTCCAATCTTCCTTCTCCACCCCCTTCTCCCTTCTCCCCTCCTCCTTCTCACGCAGTTCTCCCCTCCTCCACCACCTTCTCTCTTGTCCCCTCTCCTCGTTCCACCAGCTTTCTCCCCTCCTCCACCCACTCTCTCCTTTTCTCCCCTCCTCTTCCACCAGCTCTCCTTCTCCCCTCCTTAATCCCTTTCTCCCTTCGTCCCCCTCCTCCTCCACCATCTCCCTTCTCTCCTTCCTCTTCTCCCAGCTTCCCTCCCCCTCTCCCTTCCACCACCTCTCACCTCCCTTCTGCCCCTCCGTTCACCACCTTCTCGCCTTCTCTCCCTCCTCCACTACCTTCTCCCTTCTCCCCCCTCCTCCTTCATCTCACCAGCTTCTCCCGCCTCTTCTCCACACCTTCTCCCTCTCCCCCTCCTCCTCCCACTCGCTATCTCCCAGCTCCTCGCCTCCCAGTCTCTCTCCTTCATCCAGCCTCCCTCATCTACTTCCAGCTTCACGGGCTCCTATCTCCCCTCTCCGTCCACCAGCTCCCTTCTCCCCCCTCCTCCTTTCTTCCTTCTCCACCAGCTTCTCCCTCCTCCTTCTCCACCAGCTTCTCCCCTCACTCCACCACCTTCCTCCCTCGGCCCCCTCCTCCTTCTCGCAACCAGCTTCTCCCCTTCCTCCACCACCGTCGATTCTCTCCCCCTCTTCCTTTCTCAACACTTTCTCCCTGTCTCCCCTCTCCATTCCACCACCGTTCTTCGCTTCTCCTTCTCCTTTCTCCACAGTGTCTCCCTCCTCTTTCTCCACCACCTTCTCCCTTCTCCCCTTCCTCCATTCTCCACCAGCTTCTCCTTCTCCCCTTCCTCAATTCCTAGCCATATTGAGGTGTCAGGCCACACGGCCGGCCGTAGGTATCCATATTGAATCTGCCACACCGGCCGCCCGTGGTATCCCTTCCCATAGGCAACACCATTAGCGTTCCATAGTCACTTTCATAGGCAACACGCGGTAGATTGCGCGCGTCGAGGTGCGAGATGCTCATGTCATTCAAAAGGTTTCATGCTTTGGGGAGTTTTCATCATTTGGAAGTGGTACTTTGATTTGAACTTTCTCCTGATTAGCGCGGAGTTATTCGCGCGCACGTAAATTCATTGCAAAGCTGTTAAGTTTGGTTTGGAAGTAAATAAGCTGATTCTATTGTATGGTTAATAAATTGTACTTTTAATGAATTGATTTGTGATACACTGATTACTATGCTGACTTGATTCGTATTTTCGGTAAATTGAATTTGTAATGTTATAATTAATTTAGGAATCTTGTAAATTGATTCGTAAACATGGAATAAATTGTAGCTTTTATGAATTGTTTGTAGATACATGATATATGTGACTTGATTGTATTTTCGTAAATTGATTTTAATGTTATAAATTAATTAGAATCTCTGTAAATTGATTCGTAAACATGTACAATAAATTGTGGCCTTTTATGAATGATTGTAAGATACATGAATTACTATGTGACTTTGATTTGTATTTCGTAAATTTGATTTGTAATGTTATAATTAATTAGAATCTTGTAAAATGATTCGTAAAATCTTAATAATTGTAGCTTTATTGAAATTGATTTCAACCAGTAGAACGTTTGTAGATACATGAATTAATTGCTGACTTGTAATTTTGGAATATGTATAGAAATATAACTGATTTGTATTTTCGATTAAAATTGATTTGATGTTATAAGTAATTAGAAATCTTGTAATTGATTCCTAACATGTATAATAAATCGTAACTATAACCTATGTTTCTATAAATAATTGTTACTTTTGTAAATTAATTTTAAACTTTTGTAAATTGCATTTAATGCATTGTAAATTGATTTGAGATTTAGGTTTAAATTCTTTAGAAATCGATTTTTGAGGGTAATGGTCTTGCCATACACATACACGCCGAAACAGTGGAATGCACAGGGCATTATCAGGAACCTTTCTCAAGGAATGTTTCGTTGGGGTCGTTATGAAAGTTGCCACGAGATGGCGCGTACGTTTAAGTGTGCATCAGATTAAGATGAAGCTCCCATCGTACGTAGTAGCAACACACATTTGCAAGACAGAATAGGTGAGCACTCAGTCCATTTACTCTACGCAGCCTACAGGTCTGGAATAGAGAGCTGACCACCTGTAACCATTAACACAGGCAAAAACACACAGTACCACCACCACCATGCACTGCAGGTGCATACGTTAATGTAACATACTGACAGCACAGAATGTCATTAGAAAATTATACGAGTTAAGGAGCTAGAACTTTTTCCAACCAAAATTTAGCCTTTTTGAATTCTCACTGTTGACATTGTCAGCGTCATTACATGCCAGGCCATGTATAGATTCTACTAGCCAACCCGGCGCAGTCACAAATTCTTTCCAACAGACATTAACAAATCATGTTTAACCTCCTCTTGAGGGTCAAAGGTTATCGACACTTACTGTTCGCATGTTCAGTCAGAAGTAATGTTCAGGTCCTTCAATAAAGCCATAAAAATGCTAAAGGTCAACGCCTGATACAAAAAAGTTTCTTCAATCGCCTCCGCCCCTGTCAGACCACTGTTCCTCTAGTGAAAAAGATCTAAAATCTTCTGCCCGGTGTACCATTGACTTTTAACTGTCGACCGGCCATTCAGGCCACAAGTGATGGCTTTTCCATACCATGATGCGTATACACGACTATTCACGAGGCCTAGTCGAGCCGTTTAGATTTTGTGCCGCAATTCGTGAGTTTCCTCCTATCCTTAAGTTAGGAGCTGACTGTTTCCCCCTTCTTGTAACACTTGACCTTTGACCCCAGCTTTGACATCCCCAACTCGTTTTCGACGATCCCCCCCCAACGTCCCGAATAATGTGACCGTACGTCGAGCAGTCACGGATTTGTGCCCAACTCGTTGACGGCCGACGGGCGGACGCACGCACGGCCGGACGGGGGGCGGCCGGTCGGGGGGGGGACGGACGATCAATGCGTATTCTTACAAGCTGCATCTGACTACGTCAGATGAGCTAAAAATGTTGTTACCATGGCAACGATGACTCCGCCCACACCAAAAACGATTGGCGCCTTCGCTTTACCATAACGCACCTTCATGCCAAATTTGAAGATCATCCGAGATCGGGTAAAAACTGCCCACCAGGTCACTGCGACCTTTATTTGACCTTTACCTTGACCTTGATCATATTTTCCTTCCGCTCACTAACTCAGCCCCTAATTGACCTAGCGCAACCAAACTTGGGATGCTTACACATCTTGGGGAGGTCTGTCGCATACCAAAACCACCACTGCCCTTGACCTTAGTTTGACCTTCACCGTCGACTTACATTTCCTCTTCTGCCTCCTAGGTAACCAGATTCCATATACTTGCACATCTGAGGCACACCAGTTGTCTAACAAACCTTTGTCTTTGTGACTTATTTAACTTTACCTGCCTTCTACGTCTTTACAGAGATATTCCATTCATACTAGATCACGGGGGATACATGTAGTTGGCGACAACTGCTCATTTCTAGTTATTACATGAAATTAGGCTTCCATTATAGGAACACCATTTAAAACACATAAAATCAGTGACCAGCATTTTATGGAACGGGGATAATACAGTAGCTATGCTAACTGTATTCTCTCTGATGCATATAATAATCTTGACTTAATTCTTTTTTAATTACCTTACCTCTATCAGATCAGCATAGTCTTCCAGGTTTTCAGGGGAGCAATAAACAGCTTGACCTGAAGGAAGCAGCTGGTCTCTTGCAAGATTAAGCTTGACTTTTACAATATCGCCTTTCATTCCAATACCTGTCACACAAGCAATGCAAACAATTAATGTTTTTCTCTAAAAACAAAAACCAAACGTTATATGGACTTTGTATTAGTCTACGGCATTAAAGCTAACAAATTTAATACCTAAACTTTTATATAAAAGAAATTGACGGCAAGACACCTTATTCGGATACCTTCGACATTTTCAACCAACAAGACCTCTAATGGTTTCAGGGGCACGGAGTCTCGATGCTCAACAAGCTCATAGACGTGGAAGCGTGACGGCAGATGACGGCGTCTCTTGTCGTCCTCATAACGAGGCAGCTTGTTTAACGGCGGTGTCCACTTTCGCTTTAAGATCCACGTATTCTGTGTAACACATGCATATCACAGGTAACCGCAATTAATCGAAAATAATTGTCAATTTTAAAAGCGACTGGTAAAACAACCACATTGACTATAAAACATGATACTCCATAAATACCGATTGCTATTTATAGTTACATTATCAGGTGTTTTATCAAGCGACATCATGTATTTATGCAAGCCATTCTTCCATACAATAACACGAAACGTGAACGTCACAACTAATCGAAATATCAAAAATAAGAAAGCAATCACACCATTGCAAAGGTTTCTTTTGGCACACAATCAGAAGACAAGTAATGTCCCAAATGTTTTTTCATGAAAAACACATCCAGGTTTTACTCATCAATATAAACTATAATAAAAATACAATTTTTTATGTAATTACATTCTTTTCATCTTATTTTAATAGGTACGATACGGTTTGAAATTTTGCTTGGAATTTTCATTGTAGTACTAGTAACTTTACTATAGCTCAGTCAATAGTCTAAGATAAAAAGTTGTAGACTAAATGTTTACACTAATTTTCTTTCTGATAAGAAGGTCCGGTTTTCACACCTAGAGAATATTCTATGCATGAGCAGGGTTTCAACTCAGAGCCCGCCGGGGGGTCACTCCCATACTAAAGTGGTACGCATGCTCGTCAAAGCATCTCAAAATCGGACCCTAAATGGCGTGTTCAGCGGTAGCAAATTTCACCCCTTATTGGCGTAAGATAATGTAAATCTTACCCCTAAATGGCGTAACAGTGAGAAATTTGTGTAAACCCGTAGTCCCGTGCCCGCTCGTGCCTAGACTTGTGAGTGGCCGATGGCACGTATACCGTATACCGGGCGGGCACGTATACTGCGCATACTCGACTTTAACGCCCATCAGAGTCTGACGTTGAGACTAGAAAACCCGGGGAGAATCCTTTTGAGAAATGTAATCACGGAAATAAATGGGCGAATCGAATGAAGAAAACCGGCCGCAAAAGTGGGCAAAAAAGTGACCCTAAACGTCGAAGGTTAACCTGAACAAGTACGGTTTTTTCTAAAGACGTCGTCGAGCCTACAGGGTCAAAATCCTACCCTTTTTCGACGTTTTCTCTGACGAACATGCGTACCACTTTAGTATGGGTGTGACCCCCTCAGGCTCAGAGCCTTCAAAGTGAATGATGAATGTACTGTCAATTGGACTACTGTAGATCTGGTGGTAGGTCATACAACTGTACAGTTTTTCAAGTTATTATTAACAAACTGCAGAGTTTTCCGCCACCATGTTGCCAGATGTGCATTTAGGCGATGTGATCTATCTGATGAGATTGGTGTGAAGTTTTTGTGTACAAATACGAGGTTAGTAATTTTTTACCCAACTGTGTTACTCCACCATGAAAGCCATTTCATTTCTGCAGGAAATGCGGTGTATGTAGCATATGGACGTGGCGTGGTTTATTATGCGGTAGGTTGTGTGCAGGATGTAACACACTAGACTAGTCGACCCAATACCACACTCACAGTCTCAGCACCACTACCACTACCGCTGAGAGGGTCTATGTCCCCCAGGGTACTGCCGGAACGTATCCTGGGTACGGTCCGGTATACCGGAACGTACCCTGGTACTATCTAATAATAGTAGTATGCCGGACTGTACCTCGCCTACTCCACTAACGAGTCTAGGGAGTCGCCTACGCCTACTCCTTAAGTCTAACCCTAACCATATCGGCTCAGGGATAGAGAAGATGTCCAGTCCTATCTTATCAACTAACATCATCCTATCCAATCACCGTACTGGACATCATCTCTATCCTTTTTCAGGGATAGATAAGATGTCCAGTCCTATCTTATCAACTAACATCATCCTATCCAATCACCGTACTGGGCATCATCTCTATCCTTGAACCACCATATCAAATAGTTACCAGGGTATGTTCCGGCAGTACCCTGGCCTGGGGGACATAGACCCTATGTATGAGCCCCACTACCAGTAGTACTACTAGTACTAGTAGTAGTAGTAGTAGTACTAGTAGTACTAGTAGTAGTACTAGTACTAGTAGTACTAGTAGTACTACTAGTACTAGTAGTAGTACTACTACTACTAGTAGTAGTAGTACTAGTAGTACTAGTACAGTATCATCATTCACGAAAATATTTGCCTTCTATTCTTGAGAGAAAAACCAACATATACCCTTGTTTGATGAACTTCTAGCCCTTCACAGGCAGCTTGTCGGTCAAGTAATAACGTTTGTGACGAGGGAGAAGTCTTCGTAAGGAACAATGGGCTTCGTGTACGGACTAGTGTGGAGAGAACTCGCAACATGGTTTTTTAAACAGGAGATAAACTCGACTTGATCAGAGTTTTGACTCGGTGAAAATTCTAGCAATGTGAGTATAACATGATAATCTATTTAGCATTCATATTGGCTCTCACTGAATATGTAGTCCTAGAATAAATGGCACAAGTAATAACATCAAAAAGTTTTGGGTTCGTCAGTGAAGAACGTGCCAAATCACGTTACAGCATGGAGCGGATGTGGCGACATCTAGACGCCATAAATGTCAGTGAATTTTATTTTTACTTTTTAATTAAAGTTAACTTAACAGCAATAAAATGCAAAATTTGTTTACTTTTGTGCCAATATCCGGCAAGAAAAAATACTATTGGTGTTAATCTTATGTGTCCTAGATTAAATCAAAAGTAGATAATCCTATCATCTACTTCTGATTAAATGGATTCCCATGTTTTTATCCGGTTGGTGAACCGGATGTAAACAATGCTGTATTCATACGCAGACCGCGTACTGTTTTATATTTATAACTGAATTAATTAATTTTAGACAGTTGTACTGCTATGACTAATTATAGCACATTTCTAATATATAATGTAATAGTTTGGCTCACTTTTTGATTAAGAATCTACTATAAAAATGAAAATAGGATGCAACTCACCGGCGTGTCTACATTGCTCGCGCCACTTTCTAAAATCGGAAGTTGTTAGGTATATCATGGCGATGTTGTCAAGATTTAAGTTGTTTCTAGCCACTTTGGCTTGTTTATATTTGTTTGATTTCCCACTGGTATCATGTGCTCGTTTCGGATCGAAGGCAACAACGCTTCACTTTCCTTCAAAGACCGCCGAAGACAAATTTCGTAATAGTGAACATGTATTACAATACGACGGTAGCGGTTTTCCAGCTGGACAGCAAGCAAAGCAGGTGTTGCGAGAAAAGCGTAAGGCGGCGGGGGAGTCAACAACAGTAACACCCACCCCTACGACGGGCCACCCGCCCCCTGACGTGACGTTCGTAAGTATTCCCGTAGTTTTATATGGTCTGATGTCAATTAGACTGCAATTTATAGTAATTGTTTGCGTGGAGTCGACCATTTATGCCGGCATAATCTTGTACTACTTAGCTACTTACTACTACTACTAGTTACTTAGCCTACTAGCTAATGAGGCAATTAGTTCTAATTAAATTATAGTTTGCCGGCCAGTGTGGCAGGCCACACGCCTAGAGGATATTGCACGCTAGGGCACTTCCGGTTAATTCCTTGTTGTTTGTTATTCATTTTTTTTTTTTTCACCTCCTGCATTCACGAGGCGCGGCGGCCCGGGCGGCGGGGGGCGGCCGGGCGGGGGACGCGCGGGGCCGACCGCGGGGGGGGGGGCCGGGCCGCGGGGGGGGGCGGGACACCCGCGACCGGGCCGGGGGGGGCGCGCGGGGGGCCGGCCCGCTCGATGTGCTCACAATGTATACCCCACCTCTTTGTATCGTTAGCTACCAGTGTCTTCCTCATAGTAATGTAGTTAGTAGTGCAGTTAATCCTGGCAGGCATATTGCCCAGTACAGTCTAGATACAATAATTAAAACAAACACTGGATAGGGTTACAGAGTTCTCCCCAGGATGAAATTGAAACAGGGGAGGGGGAGGAAGGAGGGGGGAGGGGAAACTAGGAGCCGGTGTCGGGCCTGGTCGAATCACTGGCAGCAAGAACAAGTCCGCACCTGCAGCTACAACACACACGCATCTATTGACTATATATAACAACATTATATATAGTTATAACTACTATATATATATATATATATATATAACTACTATATATAACGTTGTATATATAGTCAATAGATGCGTGTGTGCTGTAGCCTGCAGCGTGCGATTGTTCTTGCTGCCATTGGTCGAATGCGGAATTCTTGCCGAGCGTGGCCCTCAATTGCCAGTAGCGCAGCAGCACCTCAAAGCTGACTCACTCAGCCTGTTCCTCATGTAGCCATTCCGTTAAAAAAAAAAGGGAATTTTTTTAATTGGGGCGGAAATAATTAAAACGTGGCGCAACGATTGAAACGGGGGGGGGGGGGAGTTTTTCCAAACGGGCGCGGCACGCGCCCAGTTTGCGCAACGTAGGGAGAAGCCTGGTTTACAACGCGAGTGTATCCTTTTGTGTGGAGGAACCCTTGAGTGAATCACTCAGGGAAGTTTGCTGGTGCATTTTCAGAGACTAGCAACTCCAAACTGAGTTTATTTCTCAAACACGTACCTTTCTCCGCTATCTGCGAACTTTACTATGTATCACAATACTCTGTATTAAACTAATATAACCTGTTACAAAAATTCGAAGTGACGAGCGCGCGGATATTTCAAGCGCCATTTCTGTTGACCTGTGACGTACGCATTCCAATGCGCATAGCGTTCGGCTAACTTCGTCATTGACGTCACGACTGACAGCAGGCATCCCATGATACATTCGATCTTGAGTCGAGTTAGCCCGAACGCTATGCGCATTGGGAATGCGTACGTCACAGTGTCACAGGTCAACAGGAAATGGCCGCTCGAAATATCCCGGACCGCTCGTCACTTCGAATTTTGTACGAGGTTTATTAGTTTAATGCAGAGTATTGTGATACATAGTAAGTTCCAAGATAGCGGAGAAAGGTTCGTGTTGAGAATAAACCCAGTTTGAAAGTACTAGTCTGAAAACGCACCAGCAAACCGCCCTGAGTGATTCACTCAGGGGTTCCTCCAAACAAAAGGATACACTCGCGTTGTAACCCTATCCTGTGTTTGGGTTACATTATTGTATCTAAGTACAGTCATACCTTACTATTATATACTTGACAACCATGGAAAAATATGGGTATAATTGGCTACCCTAGCTAAATAAATCAATTGAAATTGAATTGAACCTCTACGGAACATCAGTAGAAACATCATCAGCCTTACCTTGTGTGGCTAAAACGTGGTGGAACTCTACCTTCCGATTTCTCAAGAACTTATGGTGGTTTAAAGGGCAAAATTTAGAGCGAAAATCTATTTGAACAGCAGTTAGATCATGTGTGCAGGATGTGCTGCTAGAATTGTTCATCATCATTTTCTTTCGTGAAAACAACAGGGAACCTGTCTAACCTGTAAGTTGTGCAGCAGGGACACCCCACATTTAACTAAAATAAATTAATACTGACATAAATTTAACCCCAAAGGCTGGAAATCAAGATTGAGGTCATGAATAGTAAATACATTTTAGGTCCTGGCAAGCTAACAGGAAAATTAACAATACGACTAATAACTTTTGTTATCATTTATATATATATATGTATATATATATTATTACATTATAATTGGTACAAGCTATAATAGTTGTACTTATATTAAATGCAATGCAAATAGTAGGCGCAGTTCTATAAAAGATGAAACCAGATTTAGTAACTATAATATCCACGCGAGTGTCCTGCATTGCAGCATTTGTTGCACTTAGCAAGGTGGCTTGCAATAAACCTAAAAGCTATGCAGTGGGTTATAATCACAGTGCCTGCTTATTGCTACAGCTTGTGTAATAAAATTACACAATATTCTACAACTGTTTAGATCATCTTTAACATACCGTCGGTGGTGTCTCTGTCAGCTACTAATTATCGATATTTGTTTTTTTTACGATGACAGGTTCACATGAATGATTCGCATCACCAGCTCATTGTGCTGTGGGCAGGCCAGGGAAGCGACGTCCTGGTTGCTTTGGCGCGTGACATCGCCCAGAACAACCAGTCCACAAGTCGTGTGTTCATCTCTTACGATTATGGCCTGACATTTGAGGAGAGGATAGGACCTGGAAAAGCGGTCGGCGCTGGCATGATTATAAACCACTTCTACAACAGTCCTGTTGTGAGCAGCCATGTAAGTTCATTCTGTGTATTTGTGTGCGTTATGTAGGGTTTCGACATTAAGGACAGCAAGCAGCAGTTTTGCTGCCTACAATGGTCAGTTTTCTGCCTGCTCTCAATGCTGGCAGCAAGGGCTTGCTCCCAAGAAATTCCTAATATAAACCATCATAAAAGCACCAATGTTCCTGCCTGGGTGAATAAATTTGTTGCCTGCCTCTTTCTCTGGCAGTAAATAGAACTTAAAATTTAAAGCGTAAATAAATACTGTGAATGATCCGTAGTTTTCCGCCGGCCTGCCGTAGTGCCGTTTGTGTGCGATGATGTGAGTGTGGTGGGGCTTCCTGAAAACCCTTGCGCCATGTGTAACCGCGCGACATTGAAAATCACTTGCGTTTGTCACAGTTAGTCAGTTATGTGCTTAGTCTGACGCGCACAGGAGCGTTTGCGAGACTGGCTATGGGTTCATTGTTTGCGCGTAGCTTTGTCAACGGCCGCAAGCAAACTAAAAATGTGTCACTGGTGTCCCTAACTGTACTGTACATGCGATTCACAGGTGTGTGTGTGTGTGTTTGGGGGGAGTGGGGTAACGGTTGCTTCGTAAACTTTCTTCTCGGAATTGCCTTGAGGATGTCAAAGTCACTTGTTGCAACGTATTAGAACAGATGGTATCAGTTGACAGATGTGGGTCTGTAACTTAGTAGCTGTAGTGCATATGGGAACAGGCTTGCACTGCTGGATCTGGTTCTGTAACCAGCTGTAATACATTATGGGAACAGGTGGTCTGGACTCGCACTACAGGATGTGGGTATGTAACTAGCTGTAATACATATGGTAACAGGTGCCCTGGGCTTGCACTATGGGATGTGGGTCTGTTACCAGCTGTAATACATGATGGGAACAAATACACTGGCTTGCCCTACGGGATGTGGGTCTGTAACCAGCTGTAACATATATGGGAACAGGTGATCTGGGCTTGCACTATGGGATGTGGGTCTATAACTAGCTGTAGTACGTATGGGAACAGATACTCCGGGCTTGCACTAAGGGATGTGGTTCTGTAACCAGCTGTAATACATTATGGGAACAGGTGGTCTGGAATCGCACTACGGGATATGAGTCTGTAACTAGCTGTAATACATATATGGGAACAGGTGATCTGGGCTTGCACTAACAGATGTGGTTCTGTAACCAGCTGCAATACGTATAGAAGCAGACCTGTGCTCTGTGGGTCAATATCTAGCCGGTCAGTGCTACTGCCTGCGCCCATAAGTCTAGGGCTGTACTGTACGTATCTGCATTCTGTACTACTACTGCCCAACTCTAGCAGTAATGAACTAGCTAGGGTGGGAATTGCACTGCTTTCCCTAGCATGAGCAGCTGAAATTAGGTCACATCATCGCAGCACTAACGTTAGATATAGTTTATTACATGGTATGACAGAGTAGCTAGTAATTTAAAGTTTGATAATTGATTAAATTAATTTAAATTTTAATCGATTTTAATTTTATCAAAATGGGTACTAGACTGGATTTTGATGTTGCTGGAAAGGTCTTGCCCTGTGGCATTGAGATTACAGATTGAGATTATGGCATTGCCCAGATGCAATGCGATTTATTTGTATTCTTGGCATGAAATGAAGACAATCTTATACATAAGTTTGTGGTCTTAGGTAGCTCCAAGAAACGGTCACACATTGAAAGTTAAAGCCACCAAAATCGGTATTAACGTTAGTAATGCAGTCTGCTTGGTCTAGGTCTTAGGGTGAATTTTAACTCGCCTCTATTAGTCGTGCAAGTGCATTGTCTATTTCATAAATAATTGCATCAACCATGCATATAATGTGAGCAAGTCTTTAATTTTAAGACACAGGAATTAATTCCGGGCGAAGGAATGTGCATTGTAGATGTCCGAGCCTTTCCTACTGATACCCAGGGCTGCACTCCTCGACATCGCCACATTATTTCAAGGCAAACGAGAGAGTTGAAGGGACCTGCTTGGATAACAGCTCTCCACGCTAGGTGGTGCTTGCAATGCCGCGAACGTACTCGTGTTGTTTCTTTCGGCAGTACGTGTTCACGGACACCGTTCACAACGCGACACTGTCGACGCAGGACTACGGCCGCAGTTTCAAGAGGCACGACTGCCCATTCCGGCCGACTCAAATCTCCATGCATTCTGAGAACTCCGATTTCATCCTCGGAATGGACGAGAAGGATCCAGCTAAACGGGTACGTGTGCGCGCACATGCAGACGTGGAGCACTATAGCACCGCCCACGCTCGTAGTACGCTCGAATCTGTAACCTGGGGATTGTTTTGGGAGGAGAGGAATCAGGTTGTTTTGGGAGGAGAGGCGGTGGGACCGGGGGGGGGGGGGCATCCTTGGAAGTGGCCTTTATAGAGAGGTGTATACTAGCACTGCCCATGCTCGTAGTATGCTCGAATCTGTAAGGGTCGTTTTGGGAGGAGAGGCAGGGGGTATCCTTGAAGTGCCCTTTATAGAGAGGTGTCGGTGCTGTGAAAGGTAGTTTTACTGTGTACCTAACTGCGACTCAGAGGAAATGTTGAAAGTGTCCTTTATGGACAGGTGTCTTTTTCTGTAAAAGGTGGTTTTACCGTGTAACCGCCACTCAGAAGAAATGCCGAAAGTGTCCTTTATAGCCAGGTGTCTGTTTTATATTAGAGAACAACATCCTATCAGGAGTGGATAATAGAGTCTATTATCCACTCCTGATCCTATCAATGAATCCTATCATCGTCTAGCAGAGGTTTGACTGTAATGGGTGTCAACTGAACAAGTTGTGCATATGAGTATTTTTTTAAATAAGACAACCCCCTGCCCAAAGACCAAAGTCCCCTTATGACAACACCCACAAAGGATGAAATCCCCTGGAAGAAAAACTCCCTAGAACAAGTGGTGACATGGAATTTTTGACAAGAGATTCTGGAAGCCGAGGGTTGCATGTCCCCCCCCCACCACCACCACCATGCACGGACGCACGCGCGCACGCACTGTTTATCATTAGTACAGGCAATATGTGTGCATATGTCATATAACTAAAGGGGCGCGGCAGTATGCAAACACTTGGTGTAATAGCTATGGCGTCCCGATGTAATATATTTTCATTATGGTATCCACGTCGTCCTGAATTTCTGTTGGAATTTTCGTGGGTTTTTCTTGTCAGCCGAGAGTAATGCTCGCGTTAAACCATAACTCTACTAACAGTGACACTCTCTGAGTACGACGTTACGCTCGTCTCAGCAGTCCTGGGATGTAGTTTTCCTAGCCACTCTTTCCCCTATTGCTCCGTCATCGTGTTTACCTGCTAGCCAGGCCTACCCACTCGTCTCACATCCTGTTTCAGTCAGCCGCACCCGCTGGTCGAATGGATTGTGCGCAGTGACAGACCACCCGAGTGAGAATCGCATTTAGGGGGGCGGGGGGTGGGTACGTCCACGCAGTTAGGTTTTTGTCTCAAAAGAGATGCTAAGATGCATGTACAGTGTGACAGACTACTAGTATCCAGTTTTTTTTGCTAATAGGTACTGTCAGGGGAATTTAGAATCTAATGGCAGTGCATTAGGTTTGGAGTAGGTTTAGAGCACTGCTGTATATCTGTGCGGATGCGCGTATTAGGTGGTCCCGTGTGTCGTCTAAGTGCCTTATTAGTGCCATGTTTCTAAGAAATAAACGGTGGTTTACGCAGTGAAGCAATGGAACCAATAAACTCGAAAAAGAATGTCCAAGTGTTGTCATTGTTCAGAAGTCTTGTGATATACTATAATAGCTAGTCAGTATCATCATACCTCTAAGTCTTAGTTTTTAGAACTGATATCTATTGCTGTCCAGGAAATTAGTACGTCAATCTTTTGAATGTCAGTAAAGAGCCAGACCTTTTTCAATTAAGCAGAGTAAACTAAACGTGATACTAGTCTTTTTTACCATTATTGTAGGATTTAAAATTTAAAATTTGAGATATGACAAAAACAGGTTATGCTGTACAGGTTCTACTGTTTCAAGTAACCTCCTCTTCTCCCTCCCCACCTCTCTCTCTCGCTCTCTCTCTCTCTCTCTCTCTCTCTCTCTCTCTCTCTCTCTCTCTCTCTCTCTCTCTCTCTCCCACTCTCTTTATATATATAT